CTTTCCCGCGCCGGCGCGGACGGGACAAGGGAGGAAACGGGCATTAACTATCGAATGGCAGCAGCGCAGCAGCTAGTGAGCACAGAAGGACTGTAAGTTTGACTGCATGAGGTTCACTGCTGCTTATCTGTGCTTAAATGTGTTCTGTTCTCTGTGTTGACATGAAAAGCGCTGCCTGGTGCCCGTGGTTCTGCAGAGCGAGGCTGCTGCGTGTTCTCCATGCAGGTGGCTGCGTCCCGCCTGGAAACCTGTCCTGGCATTGCTGGAATTCACCCTCTAACAACTGCCGTCCTATTGCTAGGGCTAATATTCTGCTCTTGCTTCCTGCTTGGAGCACAAGGAGCTGTCGGAGGAAACTGTTTTGTGCAAGGGAGAAAAAGACACTTTAAGACCGCTATGAAACAACTGAATCTGCTTCTTTGCTGCTTCCATATCCGTGTTGTGCCGTGGGGGCAGTGCAGCAGGTTCAGGTCTCTGCCCGGGGTGTCATCCACAGCGGTGGCACCAAGTTTGGCCCCGCACGGTGGCCACAAGAAGCCCCCAGGCGCTAAGTCAACGTCAAGGGCGGCCGAGGCGCCGGGGAGGCCGCAGCCCTTCCGACCACCGCGAAACCTTGCAAGGAAAATACCAGGGAAAAAGCGTGTGTGCGCCTTTGTGGTGCTGCCCAAGGGAAGACGTGCCTTTTCCGCTAGTAACAGCGCTATTCCCACGGAAGGGAAGAAAGGGAGTGAAAAGTGGGAAGTTACTAGCCCTTGGAAAGCATGGCGAGTCCTGAGGAAAGCAAGCCAAGCGCAATGAGGCTGCCTGGGTGTCCCGACGCAGCCCCGGCCCCGCTGGCTTTGCTGCTTTTAGCGCTAAGAGCATTACCTGCCCGCAGGGATGCTGCCCGCAGCGCCGTCTCCTTGATCCTGAGGGGCTTTTCCGGGCACTGCGGGAGAGCCCCTGGCGCCGTTCGGAGCTGCTCCCCAGCGCCAGCCCCTGCTCCCTCCGCACATTCCCCCAAACATCATCATATAGGGACTCCCTTTCTGATGCCACTAGGTATCTCGGTGGGATTTCAGAGCCACTGGTCACGGGGTGATGAGGGACCGATCTACACCTACCTATACGCTCTCATACTGGTAAATAAAATGGGGTGGGAGAAGCGGGAAATCTGAGGCAAGGATTTCCAGCGAGATAGAAATGAAGCACCCTAGAGCCACTGGCCACGGGGTGACGAGGGACCAACCTACACCTTCTACCTATACACTCTCATACTGGTAAATAAAACGGGGTGGGAGAAGCGGGAAATCTGAGGCAAGGATTTCCAGCGAGATAGAAATGAAGCACCCGCGTTTACTTTTGCAAGGTGTCGTGTTGGGCTGTGGCTTCGCGTCCTGGTCGGGGAACGCCAGAGCTGCTGGCCGAGAAGGTGCGTGGAATTTGTCACGGTGTGTGTGTGCCCGCTCTGAACGGTGCAGGAAGCCAGGAGAACAGGAAAACTGTGTTCTATAACAAAGCAAGGTAGGAAGGTTTTCCACAAGAAGAGCATGAAAGGATGTTTTACAGCAGAGTACAGGAAAGAGGGAAGGGGTATGTGAATTAAACATGGATTTGCTGCCACTGAGCATGAGAGTCGTTAATTTTCTCGTGGGAAAAGCAAACACATTCAGTCATTCGCCGACGACCCTCCCATTTTAAATGCAGGTGTTTTATCTCCAGGATGGTTTTGAGGGCTCTGGCGTTAGCTCCTTGCTGAGCCCTTCCAGCAGCAGCCGAGACGTTTCCTGGATCCTCCGCTTAAGGACACGCAAAACGGCCAAGCCCTGCGGTTCCCGGAGACTCGCAGGGAGCCGCGGCACATCCCGGAGCAGGCCTGGAGGACAGGGATGCACAGACAGAGCTGCAGGATAACGGTGCAAGAAGGAAGAGGTAACGCGAAGGTCAGCGATGTTCCCCTAAGGATCTCTCTCTGTTTACAATAAAGTGTGCCCATGTCCCAACAACTGCCTTGACAAAATCTCCTTTCTTAAGTTGTGCAGTAACTTGTACAAACATAATTTTCTTCTTACCACTTGGCTCTTCCCCTGTTCATTTTTCTTCAGTTAAAGTTTCCAAAATTTTATTTAGAGAGTTTTCAGGGCTCTGGTTTATACTGACACATACTGGCTGGTGTAACCTGCCAGCCTCTTGAACCACATTTTGTTTCACGTTTTCTAAGTGATTCTGGCAAGTTTAGCAATTAGATCCATTCTTTACGAACAGCTAAGACACGTTGCATGCAAAACTAGGCTGCTTTTCTTGGGACATGGCCTTGTCCCTCCAGCCGGGTCACCGCTGTCGCTGTCCCCGTCTGTTCCTGGGGCACATTTCGTGCCTGGGCCGCGGGCTGAACAAAAACATTCTTCTGGTGTTTAAAGGGATTTGGATTGGGCCTTTAATACTTAATCTAGAAACAAAGCAGCTTGTTACAACAATAAAGCCACAAAATTACAGTGTGTGAAGCCTGCAGAGCAACCTCAGCTCTTCCAGCACAGGCTGGAGGACGAGGAGGGAGCTCCTGGCGCAGGATTCCCGCTCTCCTTGTTTGTGATCCCGCGTGCGGAGGCACGGCAGGCGCCGCCGCCACCCTTTGACGGCCGGGCGGTACGTGAAATAAAACACCCGACGCCTGGAGAAGGCCACGTGTCTTGGGCCTGCCCGGGGTTTCTGGGGGAAAACAAAAGGAAACCAGGTAAACGGTGAAGCAGGTGATGAAATTCCCCGTTTGCCAGGAACGGCGCACGCTGCTGAGGCCAGGCCACCCGCTGCTGCAACCTGTGACATTTCAGGGTGGCGTGTGCTGAATAAATGCTCTTTGGGACTAGCGTGGGCGGAAACACTCGTGGTTTTTCACATGTGGGGCCGGACTGTCAAGGCCCGGGTCCGGCCGCGTGTTTGCGCGAGGCCGGGGGGGAACCAGGACTCCCTCAGGGAGGGAAAACGGGGGGTCCTGCAGCCCCGGGG